CGGCTTGTGATCGGTGTGGTTGTGAAGTGGAGCACACGGCTGGGCTTGTGCGAGGGATGACTCGGCTTGCAGTCGGTGCGTTAGAGCATACAGGTTAGGATCAAGAAGATCCAGATGTATGGTTCAAAAGTGAAGATGGATTGGTATTCATCGGTGCGTTAGAGTTAATTTATTTCTATGGTGCATCTTCTTTAACAAGTCTTTTTAATTCCAATGTCACATGCATAACACAAAATAAAAAATAGATAGCGAATTAGTCTCTTTAACACCTCAAATTTTTTAAAAAGAAAATTTGAACGTCAAAGAACACGAATAATTACGAATTGAAATATTCAAAATACAAAGAGTCTGAAATTAATCTTTGAAAAATAAAAATTGGAATGAAGGCAAAAGCTACATAGTCTCGTTCTAAATCTCTAAACTACGAATTACTCGGCCACTTGATTTCGAAAACCTACATGCACATATGTGAGTGAAAATCGCTTAATGAGACTACAAACCCAACATCTATATGTACCAACACGGTCTAATCCTGAACAGTTAATGTTCTTGTGTTGCTACGAACAAAATAATCCAGATTTATATAAACATAACTAACTCAACTAAACGCAGAAAAATCAACATAATATAATAACTTTCAGCATAGCTGAATAGTCAGCACAACAGAAGACCATATATCTAGCAATGCAATAACGGAAGTGAACGACTGATACATGTAATATTGTACTACTGTTTACTATGTTTTCATTAGGTTTTTGACAAAGAAACTAGTTGGTTTTGGCATTTAATTGTTGTTTTTAGTGTTTTTTTTTTTAAGAATCTTCACAGGAAATTAGAGCATTTTGGATCACAAGGAATGGAAAACAAGCATTTTGAAGACATAACAGTGACTGTCAGATAGTTTGCATCAAATGGAGATGTTCCCACCGTTGGATCAAACTCATATTTTACCACAAGATATATGAAAATCTTAGCTTCAAGTTATGGTCAATCTTCTAAGACTATTCGAGGAAGGTTCGAGAAGAAAGTAATCTAGAAGAGTTGATCGACGATCACCACCTCCCCGATTGATTGATACCGCATCGGCGCATCCAATGTTTTGGACACAAAATCAGGTTTCAACGTGATCGATCGATCATCTATAAAAAGATAGCAGCAACCACAAGAGAAGACACGTTTTCAAGCCTAGAAGAAATAAAAATCTACAAAGTCTTTCATCTCTCATTTCAATTCAAAAAATTGTAGTTTTCTTTTCTTTTGTTCGATACGAAGAAGATCTCACATATTTGTACTCTATATATAAGTTTTTTGAACCATTTACTACTGATTTTAATGATTATGAGTTTATCTATTGCTTTTGCTATC